TACCATTTTTAACAAAATGTTCTCCATTGGATTAAGAATAACAAAAACAAATGATCTTATTTTACCTTTATTTATTCTCTAACACTTATCTTTTTTTATCATTTACCTTCTTCCTGATGACTTTCTTTTAACATTTCATACAAAGCAGAGGTATCAGTGACAATTCCATCAATTTTTGTGTGTGTGTTTTGTTTGTTTTTTTGGTGGTGGGTGGTTTTTTTTGTTAATCCTGACCCAAGGATATTTTTTTCCATTAACTTAGAGAGAGTGGAAGGGAAGAGGGAGGAGTGAGAGAGAAACATCAACGTGAGAGAGCCACATCAATTGGTTGCCCTCCCACGCACGGCGACCAGGGCAGAGAACCTGCAACCCAGGTACCTGACCGGAAATCGAACACGCAACCCTTTGGTGCGGGGCTGACACTAACCACTGAGACACACCAGCCAGGGCCAATTCCCTCAATTTTTTTAACGGGAAGTCTTTATTTCTCCCTCACTGCTGAAAGATAATTTGGCTTGACACAAAATTCTAGTTGGGTGATTTTTCTTTCAACACTATTTCACAAAACTCCCTGCTTGCATGGTTTCTGAGACAAAGTCCAATTTCATTCTTATCCTTCCTTCTCTATAAGGTATTTCCCCCCCCTTTTTTCAAGATTTTCTCTTCATCTTTGACTTTTCTCAACTTTGAATATTTCTAGGTGTGCATTTTTAGATTATTATCTTGTTTGGTGCTCTTTGAGCTTCCTAGGTCTTTGTTTTGGTGTTTATCATTAATTTTGGAGAAACTGTTATTACTGGTTTACTTATTTATTCTTTTCTTCTTCTTCATGTATCCCATTACATGTATGTACACCTTTTGTAATTGTCCCAAAGTTCTTGGATTTCTATTCTGTCCTTTTTTATCTTTGCATTTGAATTTGGAAAGTTGATGTCTCAAGCTCACTGATTCTTTTCTTACATATTTCCACTGTATTGATGAACCCCCAAAGAAATTGTTCATATCTGTTCTGTTGATTTTTGATTTTTTACATTTCCCATTTGGTTATTTCTTTTTCTTTTTTTAATATATCTTTATTGATTTCAGAGAGAGGAAAGGAGAGGGAGAGAGAGAGAAACATCAGTGATGAGAGAGTCATTGATCGGCTGCCTCCTGCACGCCCCCGACTAGGATCGAGCCCGCAACCCGGGTATGTGCCCTGACCAGGAATTGAACCCCAATCACCTGGATCCTAGGTTGATGCTCAACCGCTGAGCCACACCCGGCCGGGTCCATTTGGTTTTTTCTTAGGCTTTCCATCTCTGTTTATATTACCTGTCTGTTCTTGCATGTTGTCCACGATTTCCTTTAGAATGATTAGCATATTAGTTATGGTTGCTTTACATTTCTGGTCTGATAATTCCAACATATCTGTTACATCTGAATTATGTTCTACATCTGAATTATGTTCTTTTGCTTGTTTTATCTCTTCACAGTGTGTGTTTTAATCTTTAACATGCATTTTAATTTTTTGTTGAATGCCAGACATGATGTACTTTGAAAAAGGAAATGCAGAAATTAGGCCTTTAGAGTGAGGTTTTTGATTATCTGACTAGAGTTTAGGCTGTGTTTACTATTTGCCATAGCTCTCAGAGGCAAATATCCTTAGGTGTCTTAAATTTTTGTCTCTATGTCATCTTTCGGGTTCTACAGAGGCTTCTTAAGCAAGTTCTAAAGCTCCAGTTCTTCCACTATATCCCACTGTCGTTAAACAGGAGTGTTGTTGCTGTAGTGCTATGTTGCGGGTGGAGAGGAAGTATCGTATAGTGCCATGATTTGGTCTCACTATTTTAATGAGCCTGTATCCTGGGCTGTGACCTCCTGTGGTATAATGAGAAAGATGTTATATCTTTATCCATGGTTTCTAGCAAAGACCTCCTAAAGCCCTTGGACTTTATAAATGATAAGGATAATGGGAGCATCTTAGGTTCTAATGAGGCAACTGTTTGCTCACCCCTAAATAATTCCACGATGGGTATTCATTGCCACTAAGACCAAACTGATTAGAGGCTTAGAACTTTCAACTCAGCCCCCAACTTCTGGGTGGGGGAGCAGGCTAGAGTTTGAGTTGATCACCACTGTCCAATGGTTCAGTCAGTCATGGCTAGGTAATAAAACTCCATCCAAGACCCTAAGCCTCAGGATTCAGAGAGACCTGAGTCGGTGAACACATCAATGTGGTGGAAGGCTGTCATATCTGGACAGGTCATGGAAGCTCCTACCCTCACTTTTTTTCTTTTAAAATTCTCAGCTGAAGATAGGTTTTTATTGATTTTATTATTTTACTTATTTGTTTATTTATTTATTTATTTATTTATTTATTTATTTTAATCCTTACCCAAGGATATTTTTTCCATTGCTGTTTAGAGAGAGTGGAAGGGAGAGAGAGAGAGAAACACCGATGTGAGAGAGACACATCGATTGGTTGCCTCCTGCAAGCACCCTGACCAGGACCAGGGCCAAGCCTGCAACCAAGGTACATGCCCTTGGCTGGAATCGAACCCGGGACCCTTCAGTCCACAGGTTGATGCTCTAACCACTGAACCAGACCAGCTAGGGCTGTTTTTATTGATTTGAGAGAGAGGAAGAGAGAGAGAGAGAAAGAAACATCAATGTGAGAGAGAAACATTGACTGGTTGCCTCTCATACTCGCCCCAACCTCAGATCAAACCTGTAACCTAGGTATGTGCCCTGACCAGGAATTGAACCTGAAACCTTTTTGGTGCGTAGGACAATGATCCAACCAGTTCAGCCACTGGCCAGGGCTTCATTTGGCTGTTTCTGACTTGTATCTTTTACAATCAACCAATAATAATAAAGTGCTTTTCTTAGTTCTAAGAATGGTTCTATTGAATTAACAAGCATGAGTGTGTGTCCAGGGAACCTCCAAATTTATAGTTGACCATACAGAAATGTCTGTGGCCTGGGCCTCCCTATTTCTGGCTAGCATCTGAAGTGGAGGGTCTGAGTCCTTAAACCATGGAATCTGATATTAACTCTAGTTAGTGTTAGAAGTGAATTGAACTGCAGGCCACCCAGTTAGTGTCAGAGAGGTGAACAGATGGTTTCGGAAAACACACCACTTATTTCCTGTCAGGATTAAAAAAAAAATCTGTCAACCTCGCAAGTGTTTCTAAGTTCCCCTCACTGTCAACTTAGTTCAGGCAGAAAGACTAGCGGAGACTAGAGTTGCCTATTCCCTTCTCCCATGTCAGTTTGGTGCTGCTAAAATCTCAATCATTTCAGCTCTGGTGAAACAGTCTTTGAGGACAGGTCATGTTAAGAAGAGCAGAATAGCCCGGCCAGCATGGCTCAGCGGATGAGCATTGACCTAGGATCCAGGAGATCGTGGTTCGATTCCTGGTCAGGGCACATGCCCGGGGTTGCGGGCTCGATCCCTAGTCGAGGGCGTGCAGGAGGCAGCCGATCAATGACTCTCTCATCATTGATGTTTCTTTCTATTTCTTTCCCTCTCCCTTCCTCTCTCTGAAATCAATAAAGATATATTTAAAAAAAAAAAAAGAGCAGAATATTGTGAGCATATTTCACAGTGCTTTAACCATTGAGCCACTGGCTGTTTTTCTGTCTCTTTCCAATTTGGGGAGACAGCAATTTGCCCTGGAATTAATGCTTTGGTAGAGCCAAGTTGTTGATTTTAAGTAGGTTAGCTTTTTTTCGGGTGATGGGAATGTCACCTTTTAAGCTCCTTACATGCCAGAGGAGAAATCAGAAGTCTCTGATTCTATTATTTAATGATTGACAGCTACAGCTTTAAAAACCTCGTCCTCCTTCCCCTCATGCCCCACATTTGTACAAAGTGATAGAAAACCTGAGTGCTCACTCCTTCAGCACTGGCAAGAGAGTCAATCCCTGGAAGCCCCTGGCCTGTGTACAAAATCTCACCCTAGCCCACCCCCTAACCTCAACTAAAAAAACAAGCTCCATTTTCCACGTGCTGGAGAGGCCTACCCTGCTGTCTCCAGACACTTCCATTATGGAAGCCATAAACCCTTTTATATATTCCTGTCAGCAAAATGTTATCAACCAAACCTAGGTGGGGACTCACCTGACTCTGCAGGTGACCATGACAGTTTTAGAAGAAGTAACATGGTATGTAAGTGTATGTATATATATGTGTTATATACAGTGTACACATACACATTTTACTTGATGGTTCTATTGATAAGTACTCCAGATCTTTATATATCAATACATACCACCCTGTGTTCTTAAAAGGTACATAAATTTATGTAACCCATTGTTCTCAGTAGGCACATGGCTTGTTATCAATTTCTGCTGCCAAAACCATGAATGAAAACTCAGATTGCCACTTTACAGGGCAACCAATCAGTGTCTCTCTCACACAGAGATGTTTTTCTCTCTCCCTTCCACTGTCACTGAAAAGCAATGGAAAAAATATCCTCTGGTGAGGATTTAAAAAAAAAAAAAAAAAAAAAAAA